TGGAGAAGCGGCTCTGTGGGGAAGGAGCTGGGGGTGCTGGGCACCAGGAGCTGTCCGTGAGCAGCGCTGTGCCCGAGGGCACGACAAGGGCGCTGCTGGCCCGGGGGCGTGAGGAGAGCGTTTCCAGCAGGTCAGGGGTGATGCTGCCCCTCTGCTCAGCCCTGGCCGGGCCTCCCCTGGAGCAGTGTCCGGTTCTGGGCTCCTGGGGATGAGGGACACGGAGCTCCGGGTCCTGTGGAGACCGCCAGGATGGTCTGGGGATGGCAGCATCTCTGTCCTGGGAAAGGCTGAGGGTGCTGGGGCTCGTCCCTGTGTGTCCCTGCTGCAGGGAGGGCACAGCAGGGCCCAGGCTCCGCTCCAGGGGCCAGCAATGGCACCAGAGGCCATGGACACCAAGTGATGCCCAGGAAATTCCACCTGGACATGAGGCAGAACCTCTTCCCTGTGCAGTGCCCAAGCCCTGAACAGATTGTCCGGAGAGGGTGTGGAGTCTCCTCCCTGGGGATATTCCAGAGCCATCTGGACACAGTCATGCTCCATTCCCTCTCTAGGATGATTCTGCTGGAGCCGGGAGGTGGGAACCAGGCAACCCCACTGTGGTGCCTTCCAACCTGACCCACCCTGTAGCTCTGCAAAATAAAATCTGCACCCCAGCCATAGTAACATATATTTAATACATGCATGACATGCTCTTTTACTAAACTGTATTCCTAAACTGTATTTTTTTAAATGCATTTTTCAAAACAGCATGTCATTTTCATTTTTGGAGGAAAGTCACTGTGATTATTCAGAGGCTGCTTTACAAAGATGCAATTAAAATATCAAGTTCAGGAGTCTTAACACAAGAAAATCTATCTTCTTCCTTTTTAATATAATTACTTTATAGTGCATAAATTTAAGATTCTCTAGGAATAGTGTCCCACTCATGTATTTTCTCCCTTATGCCAGTGCAAGATTCCATCCTGCTGCACAGCAAACTGGGCTGGAACAATTTCTTTGGTAACAGCAGCAACATGTGTTCAAGCAAGGCCTGAAGAAATTAGCTTCTTCTGATAAGAAAACCATAAATTCCTTTTCTTTGGAAGATTTAGGTGTTCTTCGAAGCAAGTATCTCATTGCTAAAAAAAAACAAAAACAACACATACATAATCTCTACTTTAACATTATATTGGAACCTAAAACTATATTTAACACACTACATAAGAGAATTAATACAGCATACCTGTCTAACATTACACATATAACATTCATTGTAACATCTGTGAAAAGCCAATCATAAAATACGCATTTTTCACAGGCGGGAAAGGCACTGAGCTCCTACAGCAGCTGCTTCAGGAGAATCTCTCTGGCAGAAGCCGGGGCGAGCGG